CCGGCCAACTCCCCTCACCGCATCCAGTGCGCGGCGGGCTACGAGCAGAGCGAGCACAACGTGTGCCAAGGTAAGCGCTGCCCGCGCGCCTCGCCGGGCCTCCCCCTCCGAAGGCCCCCGCGGCCTCGAAGGCCGACCCTGCGTCTTTTCTGAGGGTGGGCGCCAGAGCTCGGGGTCCATGGGGTGCAGAGGGCACGCGGGTGGCAGAGGCAGGGCCGGTCTACACACCGTGGCCGGCTGGGGAGTCCCCGGGCACAGCCTTCCCAGGAGCGCTCGGCTTCCCCACCAGCAATGGGAAAATGCGCCCCCGGAGGCTTTGCAAGGAGTCTTCTCCTTGAACTTGCCCCCTGATTGATGTTCCCCATTCAGGAAGAACGAGGAGGGGCTTCCGCCTCTCGTTCTTTAGGGGGTCATCTGCGCTCACATTTCTCTCTCCTTCAAAGCTCTCTTGACTCCGTTTCCCTCCTATCACTTGCGCATGGCACGGTCGGCCTTGGTTTTCTGTGCATTGTCACCAAGCGCACCCCGTCGCCATGCAGTCTGGCAACGGCTGTAGACTCGGGCTAGCCAAGCGATAAGAATCGTGGGCATGGAAGACAGGCCTGATGTCGGCTAACTGGACGGTGTTAAAGGGGTTTGTTTCCGACTTTCGTCTTTGCCTGATCCAGACACTGTTACTGAAATGGGGCCATGGGAACCAGGCGTTCTCTAATTGCCAGGACTGACCCCCGTATTAAGAGCTTCACCTCATTGCTACCTGCTGCCCTGAACAGAGAAGAAGGGCCTGGTAGCCCTTGGTGGTGCATGGGTTAAGTTGCCAACTGAAAGGTCGGCAGTTCGAACCCACCAGCTTCCCTACAGGGAAAATCCTGACCTACTGTTGCCATAAGGTGACAGCCAAGACACCCTATGGGGCAGTTGCACGCTGTCCTCCACTAAGGTCGCTGTGAGCAGAACTCAACTCTACAGCACCCAACCCCAGCCACCACTCATGGGTGAGGCGGGCACCTCCCTCTCTCCACACAGAGGGCTTCAACTGGGACCACCATGCTGTGGCACTGAGGACAGCAGTGTCCCGTGGTGGGTCACCTGGACACCAGGAGGTAGCCCCCACTAATGCATTCTCTTACCTTTGGTGTCAGAGATAGAGCTGAAAAACAAAGTGAGGGAACCTAGTGTGTTCGGATTGTGATCGTTGGGGGTTCTGTGTCCCAATGCTGCGAGGGTGTCCCTTTCAGAGAGCACATCGTCGTAGCATCTGTTTCCCGTTACTGTCATGAGTCAGAATTCCAATATCGATGATGAATGCTTTCACATCTGCTTGATATTCTGATACTTAATTTAAGGATTAGGTCAAGGAGATAAACTGATGAGGTTATAAATATACAGAGCTCTATACTGGTTTTAAAAAAAATACCCGGCGTTTCAGTAAGCTATAACAACTTTTAATTCTGTGACTTAAGTCTACCATCAAAAGGGTTGTGCTACTTTTCCCTAAAACAGGAATTTTTGCTGAAATCTTCCTCAAATATTGACCTTTTTATACAGGATTCGTGTTAGGACTTCCCACGCTGGTTATTTCTTTGGCCCTTGGGAAGAGAACAGAGAAATGAATGGGTCGTGCCCCCAGTAGGTTTACCGCCCTCCCTTGATGCTTGTGGTTGAATTCAAGAGCAATGCCTAGAATTGAATGAAGAAATTCTAGAACGAAACAAATGCAGGCCTCGCATGTAACCTCCATTGATGGCAGAAGAAACTGTCCTGTAACTAGTGAAAATCAAGTCCATCCTACATTTTCTGGAAAGGCTTTTGACTGCATTACAAATAAATTATTTTCCACATGTTAACACATTTGTAGTACCTACTTCTTCTTCGGGGAATTTTTTTTCACTTATAAATCAAAACTGTTAAGAGCCATTTTGGTGGGAAATGCTAAATGTGTGCTTTGTTGTTGTGTACACTCAGGCCAGATATCTCCAACTCAAATGCTTCTTTGTCATCCCACGACGTCCGAGGGGTGGGGTTGGCACGTGCCGCTGCAAGCAGGGTTAAAAGTGTTTTGGGATGACCTTGGCTTCAGTTGGATTTCTTCCCACCTCACAATTTTGCAAAGTGCCCATAAATGTGGATTTGCTTAATTGTTGATAAAAGGGGTTGTTCCATATGCTAACCACAAGATAATCTGTCTAGGGAGTATGACCAGCATGAGTCCAGTCACACTTGCGCCGTTTATTATTGAGCTAATCAAACACGCGGTCCACGTCCCTCTTTCTAATTGCCTGCAGATGGATGACATTCACAGTGCAAGCCAGCAGCGCAGAATTAGGTTTTATAGCCAATGTGAAAGTGTGGGGCCTCCGCTTAAAACAATAAACTGCTCCAAGGACCTATATTCCTGACATCAGGGTGGAGTGTGAGTAGGCTTCTGTCTGCATGAAGATCTCCACTCCCTTTTCCATGCTGCACCCCGAAACCCGGCAGGCAAACACACTCATTCGGCTCAGCTGCACTGGAGTGAACAAATGTCCACTGATGAGCCATGTTTATATAAAAAGCCTTTGTTTTTCACATTTGTTTTCAACAGGTATCATCATATAGCCTAAAAACTGAGGGACATTTGTTTGTGTGTGTCATCCGTGAAATCTGGACTGTGTTTCAAATGTCTTGGACCTCTGAATGCCCTGTTAGAAGTCCGAGATGGCTCCTAGTGGTTTAAATCATACCATTAGATATGTTTGCAGCGAGTGCTGTTCTAGAAATTAATCTTTCAACCAGCTGTCCACGTTTAATGGAAACAAGATATACTTCCTCCTTTCCATATATTTTTCCTACAGTTTTTCAGTTTTGTGCAAAAAAAGGGGGGGGGGTTAAAATATAGCATGACATGCAAAGATAGAGTCACATTGAGCAGTTTGTTTTCAGTTAACTTTTGCCAGCTGACGATGATGCTGGAGGAGCAGCCACCCTGGAAGACCGTCTCAGTTTCCCCAACCCAGAGTCCCATAGACAGTTTTAGAAAAATTATTGTTTCTTCTAAATGAATTGTTTCTGCACAAGACGCCATCTGCCTCTGTTGACGCTCATTTGTATTGGGAGGAAGTTAGGTAAACGAGGGCTCTATTTGAAGTCATTGACAATTTACCATTGTTTTCAGGATCTTTATTATATATCCTCCGTGTGAATTTCTTTAAAGAAGATGAATTGCTAGTCCACGCTGAAAAAATATTTTTTAATGATATGTAATTTTCCTAAAAGCGGAGGTGGGGGGGCGGGAATCTAATGACAAGTAAGAAAAGGCTATTTGAAGGAATTTGCTCATTTAATTGGCCTTTAAAAAGTGAAATAAAGGATGTTTTGTATAGCTGCCATTCTATAAGGCAGGGCAGATCGGCCCTTATGGGTTTTTAAGACTCTAAGTCCTTAGGAGAGTAGAAAGCCTCATTTTTCTCCTATGGATCAGCTGATGGTTTTGAACTGTTGACCTTATATAACCCACTGTGCCACCAGGACGCTGAGATACCAGGCATCACATGAAAATCTTGCAGTTTGATAAAAACAAAGTCTTTCGATTAACAACTGTTTTTCAATCATTCTTTTTGTTTGTTTGTTTGTTTGTTTGTTAATCATTCTTACCTGTGGCACAAAAGTAGCTAAAAAGTTCCTGGGGCCCTTCTTATAAAACATCAACCCCAGCTCCACTACCATTGGGTTGATGACAACTCATTTCAGCCCTATGGAGTTTCCAAGACTGTCCATCTTTAGTGGAGCAGATAAACACTCTTGCTCCTGAGGGGGGGTTCCTGAGCTTGAACTGCCGGTCTTGCAGGAGCATAGGGGAAGTGTCTCAACCACCATGCTAAACGGGTTCTTGTGGAACTTCAAGAAGAAGGCAAATTATACTGGGGGAGACACAGCACCCCATTCCTGGACCTGTCTACTGCCTTCTGCACATTGTGTAAACAGGTTGCATTTACATAAGGGTAACAAAAACACTGCTTTAAAAAGGAAAGAAGCTATAATCTATACTATACATATCTACTGTAGAAAAGAGGGACTTGAACGAACATGTACAGCTTCTCAGACGGGAGGGACACTTTTCTTAGACTTCTTTCATTTGAAATGTGAATTATCACATAGCCAAAAGAGGATTTATAAATTATAGTGTAACCAAGTGGTTTAGCATACCTAGCATTATCAGTACTAAATAGCTCAAACACGGCCCCTTTGTTGAGCCTCACTAATGCCATTAGACTGCTTCAGTTCAGTTTGTGAGGGAATGCCTCATTTCTGTTATACATAATTATACAGTCCCCCAAGAAACTTTGATCTCAGAAAATAAATATTTTGTAAAAGGAAGACTATCATTGAGTAGATTATGATAGTACCTCCAACCCTCCCCCTCAAATCTGACTTCAATTAGAAGGTAAAATGGCTATTTATCCTGCTTATAGTTTTAACTATTAATGGCTTTTGAAACCTAAATCCAATCCATGACCATAAAGTCCATTCTGACTCACAGCACCCTAAAAAAGCCTCTTGCGTCCCAAGTGCACAGGAGCTGAGTTTACAAGGAATACCCGATTAACTAAGCTGATGCATCGCAGCAGAGTCTCTCCTGGGCTCCCAGGTCCAGCTCTCGGCGACCCCGTGGTCAACAGAAGGAAACCCTGCCCTCTCACCAGCCTCACAATTTTGCTGTGTTTAAGCCCATTGTTGCGGCCACTGCATCAATCCATCTCCTTGAGGGTCTTCCTCTTTTTCTCCAACCCTGGACTTCACCAAGCATGACGGCCTTCTGCAGGGACTTTTCGCTCCTGAGAACATGCCCAAAGTATGTGAGAAGGAGTGTCCCCATCCTCACCTCTAAGGAGCATTCTGCCTGCACGTCTGCCCACACAGATGTGTCCACTGTCTAGCATAGTCCCTATTCCTCACCCATGCACAAGTATAATCCCAAGGCGTCCATTCTTCCGTCTTCCTTAGCCATTGTCCGGCTTCCGCATGCAGAGGAGACGATCGAAAATACCACTGCTTGGGCCGGGTGCATCTTCATCCCCGAAATGACATCTT